CGAAGACACTTAGGATTACATCGTAATTTGATTATATCTACCCAAACATGAATTCCTAGAAATAGTAGCCTCATAAAAATTAGAAAAAGAACAATCGATTTCATATTTGAACAAAATGTATCTCATCTTCTCTCATTGTCCTCACACGTTTTCACCGGTTAATTTCTTCTCCTTTCATACTATAAACACGATGTTCAGTAGGATCGACCACCCGATTTTGGGAGAAGAGATAACAATGTACGTTGTTAGGGTTTTTCTTATCCCAAATCGATTTGGAGCAAACTATTAAAGATAAAAACTGGTTTTTACTACGCTTATTAACACATGTAGTTAACTAATTAACAGAATCAATAATTTTTTGTTAATCGGATTAATGTCGTTAATAACGAGGATGTAAAAACAACAGATTTTTTTTGAAAGTTGGAGCATATAAAAACCAAAATTTAATAGTTGATATATTAATCGGACAATCAAGAAATTTTTTGTATTTTTTTGTAGCAAATTTAATTAAATTTGGGTATTTATCAGGAATTTTTCCCGCACTATTTAATCGGTTTGTAGTTGTACCTCTTCTTGTTAACCGATGGAATTTTGAACTCGGCAAGCCATGTACACTTCTGATTTACAAATTTTCACCAATGGAAACCTTAATTAGAATACAAAAATGAAAAAGTAACCAAAGAGTAAACCGGTCGGTTCGAATTGGTAACGAACTCTTTGTTAGAAATAATATAACCTAGCCGCTTAAAACCTCTTTTTGGAAACCAAGAAAAGCTGTATCGGAACAAATGCTGCTCCGGTCAATTCGCACCGTCGAGCGTCTCCGCAACGTCACCACTTGTTCGTTTTCTCGTTATCTCCCTTCATCTTCATCCTCACAACGACGTTGCAATGTTGTTCGAAGCTATTTACCACACAGAGTAACAACGGAGACTGCTTTCTCTTCTCATATTTATTCGCGAGATGAGAATCAGTACACGACTGCATCAGCACCAGTTTCTCCGTGGCGGAGGAAGGCCGGAAAAGGAAATCCAGATTCGCCGGCGGTTGATGCTGTAGAGTTGGCCTTGGACTCGGTGGTGAAAATCTTCACCGTTTCTACGAGTCCCAGTTACTTTCTTCCTTGGCAGAATAAGTCCCAACGAGAATCCATGGGCTCTGGTAATCACTCGAATCGCTCTGTTTTAGAATTTTCTAGTAGTTTAGAATTGTCTATGTATGGTTTGGCTTGAATTGTTGTTTGGCATTGTTAATGTAGGATTTGTAATTTCGGGAAGAAAGATTATAACAAACGCTCATGTGGTGGCTGATCACTCCTTCGTGCTTGTTAGAAAGCATGGATCGCCGATAAAGCATCGAGCAGAAGTTCAAGCGGTTGGCCATGAGTGTGATTTGGCTATATTGGTAATTGATAGTGAAGTGTTTTGGGAAGGTATGAATTCCTTGGAGCTAGGAGACATACCGTTTCTGCAGGAAGCTGTCTCTGTAGTTGGCTATCCACAAGGTATTTTCTCATGTTATATTGAAATAATTCTTGCATACATATTAGGCAACC